AAGTTTAATCCCGCAGAACTTCCATTGACAACAGCAGATATTTTTGCAGAAGTAACATTTAGCTTTCTACCCGTTTGTTCATACATTTTAAAACCATTTTTTCTGTATCTTTTGCATATATTTACTAATGTTAAAGTGTTTTATTTTAATCTGCATTTAAGTCACCCTTTTAAATTTTAAGTAGCAAGTTTCTCTTATGAGAAGTGCTTGCCCCTGATTCTTTCTTCTCTGCCGGTAGTTTCTACATCTCTGGTTTATTTTTTTCAAGGTTATTGTTTCTTTCTCCATGCAAAACCAATCTTATCACTTCGTACGATGTAGAATGTTCCCATCTGGTCTGCTGTGTTTCTTTTTCACTGCAAATGTTGAAATTCAACATGCTTTTTGAAATGAGGATGTAATTGTTGTAGAGCCTGCTATTACAGTACCTAGTCCACCTTTGGGCTGGACATGTTGTCCATATAGAGTGTTCAAACTCTAGAATTTAACCTTTCAGATTTTAACATTTTCTGTTTTGTTTGAAAATTTTATTTTCTAACCCACATGACTGAAATTAACTTCTTAAATATGAAGTGGGCATAAACTCAGTTTAAAGTCAGCATGTACTTGTGTCTATGGCCCTTTTCTGCGACAGAGATCTCAAGTTTCTAGTAGGGGTTAATCATGGCACTTAAAAGGACGTTCCTGATATTCTCATAGTATAATGAACAAAGGGTCAGGACGAAGGTCTCTGGAAAAGGAGAGAAAGGAGAGGAAAGGAGATTGAAAGGGATGAAGGGAAAAGCAAAAATAAGAGGAAACGAGTGAAGTGAAGGAAAAGAGAGAATTGAAGTAGTCCCTCAGTAAGAGTATATTTTCCACTATATTTCCAGTAGATGTTGAATCTGACTATATATTACCAAACAATTAATTAACATAATTTCAAGAATTGAGAACCAGTCCTTTTATTTACAGTACATGGTTGGATGTTTGTACCTGTCTAATGAAATACAGGAACAGAAAGCCCTCCAGTGATCATGAGCTTCCAGAACAAGGCTTTGATTATTCACAGAATAACAGAGTAGCGTAGTTTTGACAGGACCTCTGGCAGCCATCTAGTTCAACCCTGGGTTCAAAGCATGTCCAACAACAGGTTGCTTAGGGCTGTGTGTCCAGGCTGTATCTCTGAGGATGTAGATTCTAGCTCCAGGCAACCTGGTATGGTACTGGACCATCATTATCCCCAGCTGGACAGTAGATCAACGCTGTTCTTGAAGCGAGGAGCCTAAAGGTGGACACAATGACTCAGGTTCAGGCTCAGAAGTGCTGAACAATCACTTCTCTTGGCGTAGTGACTATGGTCTTCATAATGCAGCCCTGTATGCAGTTGGCCTTTCCTGCAAGGGCAAGCTGCTGATTAACATTCAAAGGATTCTTCAGCTCCTTGTCTGCAAATTGGTTTTCTAGCCAGTCTATACCATTGCACAGGGTTATTCCAACCCAGGTGGAAGACTCTGCAGTTGCTTTGGTTGAACTCCATAAGGTTCCTGTCCCATTTCTCCAGCCTGTCAAGGAGTATCTGAATGTGGCCCTGCTCTCCAACATGTTGACTGCTCCCTCCAATTTGATGTCATTCACCAACTTACTGAGAGTGCACTTTGTCACAACATCCAGGTCATTAATAAAGGCAATAGATAGTGTTGGAACCAGTGTGGATCCCTGAGGGAAGCTGCTGGTAACTGACTGCCACTTGGACTTTGTACTGCTGGTTGAACAGTCTGGCAGTGCAGCCAGTTTCCCTCAAGCCTGCTTATCCAGACCGTATCTCCCCAGTTTTTCTTCAAGGACACTAGAGGAGACTGAGTCAAAGGCCATCCTAAAGTCAGAGCGTACAATATTTGCTGCCTTCCCCTTCCTTATCCTCAACGCCAGAGTTACCCTTGGTAAATCCATATGGGCTATTAGCAATCGCCTCGTCCTTTGTATGGCTGGAAATGCCTTCTTGGAGATTTGCTCTATAAGTTTCCCAAGGACAGTGGTGAGGCTTGTAGCTGCCTGAGTCCTCTTCTTGCCCTTCTTGAAGATGGGTGTGACATTTGCATTTTTCCAGTCATCAGGAATCTGCCCTGATCACCACCATGTTTCAGTGGTAGTAACGTCAGCCATCTCCCTCAGCACCCTGAGGTGCATCCCCTCTGGTCCCATTGACTCCTGTATGGCCAGTGGGCTCAAGAGCTCCCTGTCTTCCTTTACAGCAGGTGTTGCTCCAGTCCCACAGGAGGCTCAGGGACCTGGGAGGCCTGAGGGCAAAACTAACCAGTGAAAACTGAGGCAAAAAAGGCACTGGGTACCTTGGCTTTTTCCATGTCCTTTGTCACTAGGTCCCTTTTTCCACCAGGTGGTGGGTCCACATTTTCCTTAGCCATCCCTTTGTTGTCACTTACTATGTCAGTCATATTCTAGTGTCATTTCATAGATAGCTTCTCTGAAAGACCCTCTGTAGATGAGCAGCATATCCATATAGATATTCTAAAACAAGGCATGAATAATGCATAGAAAATTCTGAAGGCAGCAGAAAAGGTTAAATGAAATTTTCCAAGTAGAAGTACGGAAGTAATGAAAGTTGAGGGCAAAAACTTAAAATTAATAGGAATCAATTTTCACTCAGTGGATTCACCTGTACAAACGAATTTCACAAAATATTTTGAAAGGCACTAGTTTTGACATTTTTTAAAAAGATAACTGAATGGATATTTGTGTAATACCTGTTTATAGTAGGTGTGAACTCTGTCTAAAAAAACAAAATCTGGTGTCTTTGGAGGCGTACATCTGTGGTGCCTACGAACTTACTGTATTAGGCAAAAAGGTCCATCACTAAGTTTCATCTACTTCCTCCAGACTGTCAGGTTCTGGGCAGTGTCAGACACTGGGCTTTGAGTTACATAGAGGGTGCTGCTTTCTGTGGTCTGTGTTGACAGTAATGGTGAATATTAACATTTAAGGAACCTTTCGATATTTTCTAACCTCTTTTTAAAACACATTTGCAGTCATGGGAAATTCCTTTTTGTACTTTCCCATTTTATGATTGAGTGCAGTCTTGCATGTGAAATCTCTGTGTCTGAGTCACTGTTTATCACAGGAGGAATAAAACCTGAAAAGCATGCCACAAATTTGGTATTCCTTCAGGTCATTTGGCAAGAGTAGAAAGAAATAATGTAAAATTACTTTCCTAAGAGGGGAAAATATCTTGTTTTCTTTGTTTTTCTTCTCTCTTCACTGATAAAACCTGATTTACTTCATTGAATATTGTCTACAATGGAAGCATTTCTGATGAAGAATTATTTTTGTATGTGGCACTCTTGTAGCTGTGCCTATCAACTCCTACAGCTTCTCAAAATATATGCTTACATGTTTACACAGGTGGGTTTTGTTTATGTAAGGAGGATTATATGCAAAATTGAACACTTTTCAGTAGTTTCTGAGTTAGCATTCTCTATATATTCAAGTGCGTCTGTGTGTGTTAAATGGAGGATATTAAAAATGTTCTATAATTAAATTGTATTTAAGTCCTCAGAGAGGAAGCTTTTCAGCAAGCTGAACTCCAAATATAACAAACAAAATGATAACGAAATGCTCTTAAGCCACAGCCTATAAAGTGAGTAAAAATAATACTTGAAGAGGGTTTTTTTTCATCACTGTAGGTGTTGCATTCGGCAGTTGCTCAGGAAATGTAAGTTTTAATATTCAGACCATCATTTCACATAGTATTACTCCTATCAGTAGCTCCTCCGGAAGGGAAATGTATTTTTGAGTGAGCACTTCGGGTCGTTTGGGTCCTGGTTTGTGCTGTTTGCAGGATTCCCACTGAGTATATTAAGATCTCTTTCACATAAAGGCCTGTGGAAACTGCAGCTCGTGAAAGTCTTGATAAGCTGGTGAGCAGTGAAAAATTACCCTGTGCAGCATCCCACGCCTGTCGGACGCAAGGCAGCGCAGAACCACGGGTGAGGATTCAGCGGGGGAAGAGATGCACTTCGCAGGCAGCCTCCCGCTGCCTGCAGCTCGCTGCCTGCCAGTCACCGCCGCCGCAGCTCCGCCAGTGGAGCAGGTCGTGTCTACCTGAAGTGACCTTTTTTCCTTCCCCTTCTCCATCCTAGGAAGTGTTTTTCTTCTAGAATCTCACACATCCAGGCCTTTGGCTCTGCTGTGGCCTCTCCTGTTGCTTTTAATATACGGTTTAGTTTTCTGGGTGTTTTATTGTGAGGAGCGCAGGCTTTTTATCTGGGTATATGGATGAAATGGACTGGTTTGTGTTCACAAGTTCAATCTAGATAATCTGGTCATTGTAAAAGGTGCTTGACTCTTAAATGCTATGAAGCTGCTTCCAGGGAGGGTTTAGAAACTTAATAAACATCTTGTGCTGTGATTTACGTGAGGACCCTAAAGAAAGTTAGTTGTTTGTAGAGCTATGGAAGTCACTGGCAAAGGGAAGTTAAGTCAAATTGTCAATATTCCCATCTTAAATACTGAAGTCTATTGGCAATCCTCTAACACCTTAAACCTAGGTGAATATGAAGTTTAACTTAATAAGTGAAATGATTTCTATGACCTTTTGGGATATATATAATCCTTACCATTTGTCCACTTGGATCAAAGAAGTTTCGTTCTGATGTGGGAGAGAAGAGTTCTTGTGTGCTGTATTTTATAGAAACAGTCTAAATATGTTGCCTTCCGTGCTGCCTCCAGTCACAAATATTTGGAAATTAGATACTTTTTGTCACCTATTTCTTCTTTGGAAGGATATTTGCCAAAGACTAGTGGTTCATTATTTGCTAATGAATCTGTTATCCTGAACACAAGAAGTCACCTAATCATTGCTACCCAAAAAAGACATTAGCTTGCAAGGTGGTATTACATTTTGATTGTTATGTACTTAGAATTAATTACTTTTGATTGTTTTACACTACAGTTGCTAGTGGCATTCTCATTAATCATCTGTATCTTTCTTTTTGCAGCTTGGGTCCTGTGTTTGCGCTGTTTGTACCATTTTATTTCTCCATTCCAAGAGTGCAGGTGACACAAGTATTAGGCTACTTTTCTATCACAAACAAGACACTGGTCTATATACTGGGTTTACAGGTATGGTATGTACTTGCTTGTTCATCTTTTAATGAATTACTAATGTAGTAATTAGTATTTCTATATGTTCATCTATGGATTTTGATGCTTCCACATATGTGATTCCACATATGTTTAGCTAGTGACTGTCCCATCAACTAAAATATTGAAAAACATGTGTTGCTAGTATGCATTTCTACATGCTGAAGTGGTGGGCAGGTGATCTGTTCTTCCATTGTCTTCTGTCTTGATTCTCTTGCACAGGAAAACATAATAGACAATTCTGCAACTCTTTTTTTTTTTTTGTCAACAAAATGAACTAGATGAAAATAGATGAAAATGGAACCTGATGCTAAGGCATATGTATCTTTCAGCTTTCTAACTCACTCATATTCTTGATTTTGTTTATTTTCCCCTTGTCTGTTAGAGCTCAAACAAAGCTATAGAATACAGTATTTTTCTATGGTAAGACTGTCAGTAAACAATCCAGGTTTTGTCTCAATTCCACATTTATATAAATTAATATTATTTGTATATCAAACATTACCATGTGCCAGGTAATTTAAAATAATGTAATGTAGAGCACAGCAATATCATGTAGTATGTTAAATATGAGTGGAAAAATATAGGTACTTGGTACAGAAAGACAGTAGTTGTTCAAAAAAACAACCAAAACCACCCAACTAACAGCCTAGAAATGAATAGACACTCATGTTACAACCTGAATTATGCAACGGGAGACTTGCAAACTTCTGAGAAGTTGTACTCATTTTTATATATTCCAGGGACTCAAAAATAACTCTAGTAACTAGTACCCATAGTTAGATGAAGTGTGGTAGAGAGTATTTTAGAGTGAATGGGCAGTTTCAGAATATTGACTCGTGCTCCACATAAACATTTCATTCATCCATTTTGTTGTTGAGCCTTTGGATTCCTTCCGTTTCTGCTCCAGCGCCTTATTTTCTTGATCTTGCAGGAATCTTGTTTCCTCTCTTCCAAACCCATCGATACCACTAGTATTCTGGTCTTTGGGAAAGCCAGATACCATCTGAGCTCTTTTCCATCATGTCCTTTGCCTTTTTGCTTTCATACACACACCACCTGCGGTACAGATCACTGCTGTTTCTAATCACTGGATCTTCACTGCATCTTTCCCTGCTGTGTACAGAACGGTTGCTGCCATCACACAGAGGCTGAGGGAAAAAGAATTTGCCTTCTCCTCAGTTGTAAACTCTGCCCTTATCTCAAGTCACTCTTTCCCTAGTC